GGCTCGGCCAGGAGAGGGAGCAGCTGAGCCAGCGGCTGCAGGAGGAGGGCCGGCAGAGGGAGCAGCTGCGCCGGGGGAAGGGCGAGCTGGAGGAGCAGAAGAGGCTGCTGGACCGCGCCCTGGAGAAGCTCAACAAGGAGGTGGGTGGGCGCCGGCGCTGCGGGTGCACAGTCGGGCCGTGTGTGCCGGAGGGGGGGCTGATGTACTCCCCAGTGCGCTCGACTCCTCTGCAGGCGCCAGTGCTAAAGGCTCAGCGTTTGGGGGCGAAAACTAGAAGTATGATTCCCATAATGCACAGGTGAAAGCAGAAACCTGCACAGGTTGGGCGCAGGTGAGCGCCAGATCCCGAGCTCCAGCTTCCTGCGGCGTACCATGGCGTACTCGAGAGCGTCGTGTCTTCACTGCCGCCGCGGTCGGCCCTCAGACTGCGGGCGATGGGGGGGTGATCCAGCTCAGACTGGGAGTCTTTCCCCTTTCTCCGTGGCGCCACCAGCCCGCGATGGGGCCCGCGCCAGCGTGTTGTCGTGAAGGCCGCGCGCTCCTGCTGTCCCCTTCCCCAGCCGTTCCTGTCCTGTCGTGGCTGTTAAAACATTATCACACCTAAATCACAGAACTCCCAACATGCAATATCTAGATGTGATCAATGATATCTTTTTTCAATCTCTCTATCTGAAGACAGCTCACTTCCCTGCCTTTAAATATTACATTTCAAACATTCCAGGAGTTAACACTAAGTTTTATTTTAAACCAAACCAAAACGTTATCTCTCGAAACCATAGACTCATAAGGTTTTCAGTTAAGGCACGAGATAAAAGGTTCAAGTTTCAATCAGAAGAGGGAACTGTTTCAACAAGAGTCAGTACCAACACTGCAGGAATTTTTTGTCACAAAGCTCTCAAGCAACAATTTGCAGTAATATGTGATTCTAAAAGTTGAATCAATAAAAACAATAAGATAGCCTAATAGTTCTGATGATGTTGGTAAGTTCTGTCGCTCGTAGCATAAAATGTAGCCAGCGAGGTCAGTTATTTCTGTGACGGACGCTGTCGTTGCCCCGGCAGATGGACCAGATGGCGTCGGAGTCGCACGGCGCGGTGGCGGCGCTCCAGGCCCAGCTGGACGAGTATCGGGAGAAATCCCGGCGGGAGCTGCAGGAGGCCCAGAGGCAGAGCAAGGACAAGCTGGGAGAGCTGGAGAAGCTGCAGGGCGCCTTGAGGATCCTGCAGGAGGAGGTGCGCGCCGCCCTGCCCCGCCCCCTCTGCCCGCTTGCATGTGGCTCGTTCCTTATCAGATCACACACCCCACACCCGCAGTCTCCCACTGCTCCGAACTGGTTTTTATTCTCGCTCGTGACAACTCTGCTTTTGACCTTTTCTTTCCTCCAAAGCGTCTTCTATTGCCATAAGAAAAGCAGTCCTGAGCAAAAGTTGAGATCTCGAGCCTCTTGACAGTAAAGCTTTGAAGATGTCGAGGACATTTTTTTTTTGTCTATTTTTCTTACCAGCGGCACCCGGTGCTCAGATATTGGTATTTTTTGCGGTTACTGTGTGACATTACACAAAAAATGTCTCCTGTGCAGGAGAAAAGGGTCACTGCTGTTTTCTCGGGGAATATGTTTGAAAGGGTGAAGAAACCTTCTCTGTCCATCCCAGAGAACTGATGTTGCCTGCTGTGTATTGGGGTGGACTAAGGGGTGGGGTTCGACCATTAATTGGATTCCTCATGTCCAATTAACACATTATCCATCCAAATGGGATGTTGGAAACTCTTTACTTACAGAATCATTTGTGAATCCTACCTGAGCAGAGGGTCCATTTTGACTGCTATCAATTAGCTTCATTTTTCAGACCAAACTATATTTTTACACAATAACGTTACAGGAGCTGCTTATCGTTGTGCTCTCTCTAACTGTACAAATCATTTCGGCGCGAGACGGTGAGACGGGGGGGGCGCAGAAATCCGCCCTTCTATGTGGTTTGAGACAGGATGACCCCCCGTCCGAGCTGGAGAGTGTCCAGAGCGCGCTGTGCTCTCGCTCGGTGTGTTTGAGGTCCGGCTGTCTTGTGTCCAGGGGGCCCGTCTAAAGAAGGAGCTGCAGCTGGCCTCCGAGGAGAGGGACAATGCCGTCCTGGACAAGGAGCTGCTGACCAACAAGCTGAAAAGCCTGGAGGCCGAGCTGGAGGCCAAGAAGAGCTCCCACACGGACCGCTCGCGAGAGATCCGCGCCCTGGAGGTGAGAGCATCGCGGGTTTCCTGGCAGCGCTGTCGGCCTCCGGCCTGCGGGTGGGGGGGAGTGATCCAGCCCAGACTGCTGCAGGCTGGCCGTTTATCCCAGCGTGGGGGCAGTCGTTAGGCTTGTGGGGGCATGACTGTGGGCCTTAGGGTCAGGGGTTAAAGGTCAGGAGTGGGGGGACTTGGGTCATGTACATCTGAGGTTGGCAGTAATGGGGAACAGACTCGGGGTGCTGGCCTTTGAGCCAGAGTGGGGGGGAGGGGGCGCCCTCCGGGGAGCTGGGGTTCGATCCGCTTCAGCAGCGCCCCCTGGTGTTTTAAGCCGGAGCAGAGCCAGCAGGAGGCCCACGTGGGTCCGTGCAGAACTGTGACGCCACGCTGTCCCCCTGTCTCTCCGCCAGGACAAGGCCAAGCGTCTAGAGATGGAGCTGGAAGAGGAGAGGACGAGCGCGGAGCTGCTGACGGAGCGCATCAGCCGCAGCCGAGACCAGGTACTGGCTGCGCTCTGACCACACGCACTGACCAGTATACTGACCATGTGTGCGGAGGCACACCCAGTACCTTCTGTATACTGAGCACACACCCGCTACCGCCTGCCTGCCTGCCGACCACGTGTTACTGAACACGCACCCGGTTTGGCCTGTGTTTTTACCACACACTGTGCGCTGACTTTCTCTCTGCACGTCTGCTGTCCCTCCTCTCTCCCTCTCGTTAGATTGACCAGCTGCGCGCTGAGCTGATGCAGGAGCGATCGTCCAAGCAGGACCTCGAGCTGGACAAGGCCTCCATGGAGAGACAGGTGCCTCATTAGCGCATTCCAGCGTCGCCTCCCCCTCCTCCCCAGCCTGTGACCTCCGTGTCAGCTCCCTGCTTGTGTCCATCCGTTTCTCCGTCACTTCCTGATGGCCGCCGGCCCCCCGTCCCTGACCCCGGTCTGTCTGGCCCTGTGTTTGCTACAGCTGAAGGAGCTGCGAGGACGGCTGTCGGACCTGGAGGGGCACCAGAGGCCCTCGGCCAACCTGGCCCAGCTGGAGTCTCGGATCCAGGAGCTGGAGGACCGTCTGCAGAGCGAGGAGAGGTCAGTCAGGCCGTGATCCAGCCTGGGTCAGGGGCCGCCCGGGCAGTGGCTCAGACCTACCAGGGATAAGGATGGGGACCCGTTCTGGGTTTCACGAGCCGGCCCCCCGTTCGTAGCCCAGACTGGGGCCGAACCCCGAGACGGCAGGGCAGGACGTCGGTTGGAACTGAAGCCGTTTTCATTTGACATGCAAACTCCACACAGACAGGCACGGCCCGGGGGCCTGACTCAAACCCGAGACCCCCTGCAGCTGCGAGGCTGCAGCGCAAGCCGTCGCTTTGTGGCCGTTCTTGCAATGTTTGACTAACAGCCTCACAGCTTGATGTTGGCGCAGGGAGCTGCGTCAGCGTGTGTTAGCTGCAGCGGAAGAGGTAGAGGTACCTTTCAGCATGGAGAGAACCTTTCACCTGTTCCTTAGCATGATCACACCATAAGCCTCGTGCCAAAGTGATCCCAATGTAACGGGGAAACTGACGCTCATCTGCCTCGTGCGAGTCCAGGGAGAAGAGCAGCCTGCAGTCCAGCCAGCGGCGGCTGGAGAGGAAGGTGAAGGAGCTGACCATCCAGCTGGACGAGGAGAGGACGCAGTTCAATGACCAGAAGGACCAGGTACGCGGTCACACGTTCATCCAGTGTGTCGGGAACGCCGTCGCACACGTGCACCCGTGCACACGTGCCATGCGCTTGCACGGCTCGGTGCATAACCGTATGTCACACGCTGTGCCGCGCTCGGCCTGACCCGTTGCTCGGCCCGTCCGGCCCGGGCGGTGACAGCCTGCAGCTCTGATGGCGTGCGACGTGCTGCGGTGCTCACCCTCACGTCCGCCGTCCTCTCCCCCTGTGTGCGCGGCTGCAGCTGGCCCTGAAGGTCAAGGCCCTGAAGCGGCGGGTGGACGAGGGCGAGGGCGAGGTCGAGCGGCTGGAGGCGGCGCGCAGGAAGGCCCTGCGGGAGCTGGAGGAGCAGCAGGAGCGCCGGGAGCAGCTGGAGGGCAAGGTCACGGCGCTGGAGAAAGAGCTCTGGTGCAGTATCGCTCCCTCTCTCGCTCTGTATCACTCTCTCTTTCACTCTGTATCACTCTCGGCTGGAGGGCAAGGTCACGGCGCTGGAGAAGGAGCTCTGGTGCAGTATCGCTCCCTCTCTCACTCTGTATCACTCCCTCTTTCACTCTGTATCACTCTCCCTCTCTCGCTGTGTATCACTCTCTCTTTCACTCTGTATCACTCTCAGCTGGAGGGCAAGGTCACGGCGCTGCAGAAAGAGCTCTGGTGCAGTATCGCTCCCTCTCTCGCTCTGTATCACTCTCCCTCTCTCACTCTGTATCACTCTCTTTTTCACTCTGTATCACTCTCGGCTGGAGGGCAAGGTCACGGCGCTGGAGAAAGAGCTCTGGTGCAGTATCGCTCCCTCTCTCGCTCTGTATCGCTCCCTCTCTCGCTCTGTATCACTATCGGCTGGAGGGCAACGTCACGACGCTGGAGAAAAAGCTCTATGCAGTATCACTCTCTCTCACTCTGTATCACTCCCTCTCAGCTGGAGGGCAATGTCACGATGCTGGAGAAGAAGCTCTATGCAGTGTCACTCTCTCTCGCTCTGTATCGCTCCCGCTCTGGCCTGTCGCTCATGGTCTCTCCCCGTGTCTGCAGGAGGAAGTCCCAGTCCCAGCGCTCCGTCCTGGACTCCACGGCGCTCAGCTCCGACGAAGAAGAGGGCTCGTATGGCCCGTCCAGTATCACCTCCATCCTGACCGAAGGCAACCTGCAGACCAGCTCTTGCTAGCGGCCTCCTGTCCCTCTGACCTCTCACCTCTGACCTCTGCACTGGTCTCCCTCTTCTTTCTGCTCAGCCTTTCCATGCTGGACAACTCGGATACCAACCTCTCAGAGGTGCTGTGGTTTTTAAACTGGGGCGCTATGTATCCCTTGTACAAACCACGCAGTGCTACAGAAAAAGGCACTGTACGGCCACTAATTCGTTTTTAAATTATTTGTAGTCTATCCTTTGGCTTTTTAATGTTTTCGCCCCAGGGGGCTGCCAACACTGGCGTTGCCCCTTTTCAGCTACGACACAAGTCCTTGTTTTAGCTGGCGTTGCGCACGACCATGGTCAATGGCTTCTTGTTCAATAGCAGGTAGGTACGTAGAGGTCAAAGGGCTTTGCCTGCAGGCCCTGAGGTCAGGAGGTTCTCATAGACTGGTCTGTTCTGGTCCTGCAATGATGCACATTTTCTAACTTGAAGTTTATTAGATGATTTGTGGTGGTGGAATCACGGCTATATATATATACAGAATACGTACACGGTGTCACATTACAGAACACCCGTGTTTGAAGCGAGATTGCTCACTGATTTATGAAGGGTAATAAGTGTTGTGAATAATTGTTCATGTCCTGATTTGGCCTTTCTGTGTCTCCTCTGTTTTCCTGAGCTGTTGCTTGAGTCCTTGTAGGTAGCAGGACTAGGTGGGGGGTGAGACCCCTCTCTGTGGCCACAAGCGCACACGCACCCTCTTCCCCCTTGTGCTCTGCACGCCTGCTCGCGTCTGGGGATCCCACTTTTTATTTAAAAAAAAAAGCTGATTAAAGCTTTAGAAGGAGACCGATTTTACATTTTTTAAAAATATTTTTTTTTAATTCAAAATGCAAGTTTTTGGCTCGCATTTGGACTTTGAAACATTGCAGGAACAAAACTGCGACAGAGGGAGCTCGAGAGCAACCTCAGCGCAGCTCACGTCTGTCGGCGTGCGTGATGCGTCTTCGAGCGACGCATGTGGGGCGCCCCCTAGTGTAACTCCAGGCCCTGCACAAGGTCACAGTCCCCACAAATAAAAACACCTTCGTTTTCAAGGTGCTGAAACGGCACAGTTCCACAGGAAAGAAGTTGTTCTGGCTTTTAATGAAAGCTGTAAGCCACTTTGTAAAATATTTGTACTCACCTCTCGAGACACGGCACACAGGTGTGTCGATACTCCAAGACCTGCGCTCTGCAAAATCCTGAACTGAGCAGCATGAAAAACACTAGGCTTTCTAATCCCTGTGGAATTCAGTGCAGTCACTGGGATTGCACTGGATTCTCCCAGAAACTGGTATCCAGCTGTTTTATTTCTCTTCTGCTATTTCTGGGATATTCCTGCAGGCAGTGTCGAGCTTGGCTTGCAGAAGCTTAAACAGGTCACGCACTCTGCTCTGCTGTGTATTCCTGGAGCAGGATCGAACTGTACATTCTTTTCACTCAAATGCCTTACTGTCATCATCCTCAATGTATTTTTTTATTTTAAATAAAAATGATTACTGCTACTCGTTTTGGGAATTGAAATGTCTTTCCACCTTTGTGAAGTCCTGCTTCATCGGGACGAGTGTGCACTGAAGATTTCCACTGGGCTTGTGAAACGTTTTTTTTTTTTAAATGTGGTGTGAAAGCTTCGATAGCTTGGTGTTGTACAACATGTATAAGCGCTGCCTTGTCTTGTTTTTTCTCCTGGGCGGCTGGGTTTCTGGTGCCATGAAGGAACAGGATTTACGGTTCATTTAGCCTGTGGGGTTTGGAGGAAGGGGGGGCAGAAGGCGTTGGAATATGAGGCATTTGAGGTGATAAGATGATGGAGCTCCAATCCAATTCTATATACAGGCTGCCCCAGATCACCTGCTGTTGAGCATTTGCACCACTTGTTTAAGCAACGGATTGATTAAGCAAGTAGTGTTTCAGTGAAGGAAACACTGAGCCTTACTGAGCTTTTTTTTCCCCCCCGGACTGATCTAAAACACATCCCCTGTTCGATTGGGCATGATTGCTTTGGTCCAGGGCTGCAGAAACTGATGATTTACAGGAGACTAATGAAACGGGCGGGACAGGAGCTGTTAAGAACTGGCAGTGGAGAGAGAGAGACCCAGATAGGAAAGACGTTCGCCTTGATAGTCCACTGACTCTGCGGACATTCAGCTGAACGGTTCCCCTGGTGCGGCACACCGCCACTAGGGCTTGTCACAAGCTTCTTTCTGTAGAGCTTTGAATTACTCATGTGCAATTAGGGGAGAGCCCTGCGGCGCGCTGGTTGGCATTGCTTCCTTGCAGCTCTGAAGCTCCGAGTTCAGTTCCTGACCCTTCGGGGCCGTCTGCCTGGCCTCTGTGTGTGTTCCCCGTGTTTGAGAGGCTTGTGTCTGGGTGCTTCGGTTTCCTCCCAAAGACGTGCTGGTGGGTTAACTGGCCCTGGTGTGAGCATGTCTGCCCTGTGATGGGCTGCTGTCCTGGCCAGGGGGTACCCCGTTTTGTGCCCGTTGCTGGCGGGTCACGGATTTCTCCATGACCGTTAATCTGATGAATTGCTTAGAAAATGGATGTGCAATTTAAAAAAATAAGATGCGTACGCCAGGAATGCAAATAAAAATGACAACATCATAAAATGAAGTGGGGGGGGGGTGCAGATGAGATTCTAAAGATGGTGCCTGAAAACCCAGCTAAGCGTCCTGTTGCCTGACCAGAATGGGCAGGAAAGGGCTGAGCGTACAGAGAGAACTGTATGTTTGTATTTGCCAGCACATGCTTTTGTCGTCTTTTCTGTCTGATGGTTTATCATCTTTTGCCACAGGTAGGGCTGTCGAGATCGAAATCAGCTTCTTGAGAATCCTATCGCATTCCCCGGGGATCTCCCAGATCTCCTATTGCATTCCCAGATCCCCCCCCACCACACACACACACTCCTCCATCCTCTTGCCAGCTGGGGAATCGCGTACTGGGAGCCTCTAATGACCTGGCCCCACTTCCTTTGAAGGGCACCCTGGGGAGGTTCAGCTGCAGGGATCGCATCCCCTTGTAGGATACGGGACCATCTCGTCTTGTAGAAATCGAACAAAATATTTTCGACAAGGTCCTTCTATTCTGGACCGTGAAAGTATTGATATGTGTAAGTGAGGTCTGATATGTTGTGATGAAGCTGCTCCAGGCTTTACACCAGGAGGACAGCTGGTCCAGTGGTCAAGACCCAGGGCTGGTACACCAGGAGGACAGCTGGTCCAGTGGTCAAGACCCGGGGCTGGTACACCAGGAGGACAGCTGGTCCGGTGGTCAAGACCCGGGGCTGGTACACCAGGAGGACAGCTGGTCCGGTGGTCAAGACCCAGGGCTGGTACACCAGGAGGACAGCTGGTCCGGTGGTTCAGGCCCAGGGTGTGTTGAATAGAATTATTGTTGCTGCAATGTTGCCCTCCTGCACCTGTAGCTGCATCTGTTCCTTGTTTCTTAAGTGCACCTGGCTTGATTACCTGTACTTACCTGTCCAAGATGTATTTGATCTCCACAAGTTCTTGCCGTCGGGTGCACGGCCCATCTGCTTTGTGATAATTTTATTTTGGCTAGGGAACAGATATAACTACTGTACATGCAAATTCTGTACCTTTGACGAAACCATGCTTCCTGCAAAACATTACCTAACCAGGAATTGGGCCAGCAATTATGAACAAAGGAGCTGCCTGAGGCACAAGACAACAATTCTGATGACTTCTGATATATGTAGGTATGCTACAATGTTGGACTTGTTTTACAGCAATGCATTCTTAAATGTCACCTGTTTAATGCTAGGAATGACTGTTTTTCATAAGCTACTACCCAAGAACTGTTTAATGGTAATTTTGAGGCCAGTCTGAACAAATCTATTGTTACCCAACAGTCCAGAAATCGACAGTCCAGTCTGGACCGGGTCACACTGTAACCCTACAGTCTAGAGATTAGGAGTAAGCCCGGATATACCCTTCCCTTAATGTTATCTACTGTACTGCATGTGCCCTAAATGGGGATGTTGTCTAAATCCCCAAAAAGCAAAAGATTGAAAGAAAGTGTTTAAATGTCTCAATCTGTTGCATTTGGCATTGAATGCA